AATAGCCATGGGGTTCCTCAAAGAAAATTGAAGCAAATTTGAGATAGTAAACCTTAAAAATTAAATAATTTTGAAAAATAGCTGGGGTACCATGGTGGCACAGCCTGTAGTCCAGGCGCACTTAAGGAGGCGTGGAGCGGCCAGAAGATGCCCTGGAGCCCAGGCGACGTTTGAGGCTGCAGGAGCGTATGGTTGATGCCACTAGCGCAGCGCTGGTGAGCAGAGCAATAGGCGCCCAATCTCTAAAGAAAAAAAATGACATTTAACTTTGATAATAGATGTACATCCTGGACCCAGCCAGTTTCGCATTTCGGGCATGCATACCCAAAGGAATTGAAAGCGGAATAATTCAAACAGCTATTCTGTACACCAATAGCACAGCAGCATTAGCACAATAGCCAAAAGACGGAAAGAAGACCAAAGTCCATTGGACACGATAACTTGATAAGATAGGCTGGTACAGTGGGGCTCACGCCGTGTAATCGCCAACACTGCTGGGAGGGCAAAGGTGGGTTAGGAATTTTACTTGGACGTCCAGGAGTTCGAGCGAGACCAGCCTGGCCAACATGGTGAAACTCCATTTCTACTAAAAATACAAAATTACCCAGGCATGGTGGCACATGCCTGTAATCCCAGCTACTCAGGAGGCGGAGGCAGGAGAATCGCTTGAACCCAGAAAGCAGAGGTTGCAGTGAGCCAAGGTCGCACCACTACACTCCAGCCTGGGCGACAGAGCGAGACTCTGTCTCAAAAAAAAAAAAAAAGATAAATAGAATGTTGTATATACATGCAATGGAATATTATTCAGCCTTAAGAAAAAATTCTCACGCATGCTACAACATAGATGCACCTTGAGGATATTATGCTAAGTGAAAGAAGTCAGACACAAAAGGACAAATATTGCATAATTCCACCTATATAAAGTACCTAGAATAGGCAAATTCATAGAGCCAGAAAGCTGAATGGTGATTGCCAGAGATTAAGGAGAAAGGAAAATGGGGAATTCATATGTAATGGCTATCGAGTTTCAGTTCGGGGATGAAAAAATTCTGGAGATGAATGATAGTGATAGCCATGTAACATTGTAAATGTACTTAATGCTGCTGAATTGTCCACTCAAAAATGCTTAAAATGGTAAATTTCATGTTATATATATTTTACCACAATTAAGAAAAAATATATACAAATGTATTGACTTCAGTATGACAAAAGAAAGCATAAACCAAATTAAAAGACATGTGACTGGGATAAAATAGTAGAAATAGTGGTAAGATACCACTACTATTACCCAGAATACCCAGAATAATCAAAGAGTTCTGTCACCTTAACAAAAATAAAAGATAAGCAATCTACTAGACAAAAAGGCAAGAGATATAAACAGGTAAATCACAAAAGATCAACAGATGGCCAATTCAACTCTACAAACAACTTGGGAAATGCAATTTAAAATGATCCATTGTTATTTGTTGCCCTTGGATTGACTATTTTTTTTTATTGACAATTTTTTAATTGATAGTATTTCTAGGCTAGGCACTGTGGCTCATGCCTGTAACCCCAACACTCTAGGAGACTGAGGCAGGTGAATTGCTTGAGCTTAGGAGTTCAAGACCACCCTGAGCAACATGGCATAACCCCATCTCTACAAAAAAAAATACAAAAATTAGCCACACATGGTGACATACACCTGTAGTCCCAGCTACTGGGGAAGCTGAGGTGGGAGGATCTCTTGAGCCCAGGAGTTAGAGGATGCAGTGAGTAATGATCATACCACTGTACTCCAGCCTGGGCGATAGAGCAAGACTCTATCTCAAAAACAACAACAACAACAACAACAAAAACTTCAATATACTAAAAACGGAATAAAAAATTGTCCTTATTTGCAGATTACATTTTTCTACAGGGTAAATATGTCCTAGAGACATTAAAGAAAACCTAAATACTGCAAATGGAAACAGACCATGTTCATGGGTTGAAAGTATTGTTTAAGATGTCAATTTTCCCCAAATTGATTTACAGAGTCAACTCAACCACAATAAAAATCCTAATAGGAAACTGACAAGCTATTCTTTTTTTTGGAGACGGCGTTTCGCTCTTGTTGCCCAGGCTGGAGTGCAAAGGCATGATCTCGGCTCACTGCAACCTCCACCTGCCAGGTTCAAGTGATTCTCCTGCCTCAGCCTCCCTAGTAGCTGGGATTACAGGCATGTGCCACCACACCCGGCTAATTTTGCATTTTTAGTAGAGACGGGGTTTCTCCATGTTAGTCAGATGGGTCTTGAACTCCTGACCTCAAGTGATCTGCCCGCCTTGGCCTCCCAAAGTGCTGGGATTACAGGCATGAGCCACCGTGCTCGGCCTCGGAAACTGACAAGCTATTCTAAAATTCATATGGAAATACAAAATACCTAGAATGTGACTTTGAAAATGGAGAACAAAGTTGGAGGATTTACCTTAAATGATTTCAAGATTTATCATAAAACTATATAATCAAGACAGAATGGTACTGGTGTGAAGACAGACAGATAACTCAGTGGAAGAGAGCAGAGGATCCAGAAACAGCCTCACTTCATGGCCAATTAGGAAAATATCTAAATGTCCTTCAATATAAGACTAGTCAAATAAATCAAGATTTTTGAAAATTGTGGTACATCGCTACACAGGAAAGTATGCAGCTGATACAAGAAAGAGTAGGCCTACACAAACGGACATAGAAGAACAGTGTATATAATAAAGTGCTTATGTTTAAAACTAAACCATTGTGGGGGGGGTGCATACATGTGTATTAAAAGAGTCTAGAGAGAATTTACCAATTAATAGTAATTACCCTTAGTAAAAGAAGAAGGGTAAAAGATGGGTAAAGAAGAAGAAGGGTAAAAATGTATGTATACTTACGTTTTAATGACTCATTTTATTTGTTTTTGGGACAGGTTCTCTCTCTCCCCGACGCTGAAGTGCAGTGATGCAATCTCGGCTCACTGCAGCCTCAATCTCCCACGCTAAAGTGATCCTCCTAACTCAGCTTCCGAAGTAGCTGGGACTAAAGGTGCATGTCACCACCCCTACTTATTTTTTGAATTTTCTATAGAGACAGAGTTTCGCCAGATCGCCCAGACTGGTCTCAAACTCCTGAGCTCAAGCAATCCCCCATACTCGGCCTCCCAAAGTGCTTGGATTATAGGTGTAAGCCACCACGCCTGGCCAATTTATTTTAAAAAGTGAAAAATAGTCTGGGCGCGGTGGCTCATACCTGTAATCCCAGCACTTTGGGAGGCCAAGGCAGGCAGATCATGAGATCAGGAGTTCAAGACCAGCCTGACCAACATGGTGAAACCCCATCCCTACTAAAAATACAAAAATTAGCCAGGCGTGGTGGCACACGCACGTAATCCCAGCTACTCAGGAGGCTGAGGCAGAGGTTGCAGTGAGCTGAGATTGCGCCATTGCACTCCAGCCTGGGCGACAGAGCAAGACTCTGTCTCCAAAAAAAAAAAAAAAAAAAGGTGAAAAATAATTCACACTCTCCTTACAGGATAAAAAAGGGTGTTAGTCACCACTATCAGGTATATAAAGGCAGCTGGCATAAAAGCCGGCACGTAGCTGGCCCATAACCAATGACAGTTTCCTTCCATCCATCAAGTTAGGTGCTGGAAACAGAATCCACTCCTATAAACTTATCCTACAAACATGACCAGAAGTCCTTAGCACCTCAAACACTGTGTAAAGTCCTGACAAATTTACTTCAATAGAGGTGGGAGGAGGTTAAAGGAAAGGTGGCTAAAAAGATCAAGAGAACAGGCTGAGTTCAGTGGCTCATGCCTATAATCCCAGAACTTTGGGAGGCCGAGGCCGGTGGATCACTTCAGGTCAGGAGTTTGAGACCAACCTCGCCAACATGGAGAAACCCCGTCTCCACATACAAAATTAGCCAGGCGTAGTGGTGCATGCCTGTAATCCCAGCTACTCGGGAGGCTGAGGCAGGAGAATCGCTTGAACCCAGGAGATGGAGGTTGCAGTGAGCCAAGATCATGCCATTGCACTCCAGTCTGGGCAACAAGAGCGAAACTCCGTCTCAAAAAAAAAAAAAAAAAATCAAGAAAACAAAGAGCCTGCCATGGGAGGAAAAGCTTGAAGGACTGCGATCCTTCAGCTAAGAGTAAGGCGACAACTGTAATCACTTTGAGCTATGGGCAACACAGTGAATGGTATGAATGGGATGATTACGCCTTGTCTACAAAATTGCACAAAACCAGCAGAAGAGGGGACCCCCAGGATACCTGAGGACCAGTTTGGGATAAGCATAGGGAAATCCCAATCTAAGGTAGGAAGTAAATTTATAGCACTCACTTTAGGGAGACAAGCTGGAGAGAGCTCTATGCATGTGATTAGGAAGAGTAATGCAAGACAGGAGGACACAGTAGACACGGAGAACACAGAGAACAGTGTCACCATGAGCAGGGAGCCCTGCAGTCCTCAGGAGAAGGAGGGAGACAGCAGCAGTGACATGGCTCCTTCTAGCTCCCCAACCTTGGCCACTCTGTCTTTCCTCTCCATAAACCTCTGTCTCCCTGAGACAACCTGAGTGAATCACTGCTCCTTCCAACCCAAAGAGCTCTAGCCAAAATGAAAATACCAATGAATCCGTGAATGGGAACCTATTCATGAATAGGTTACATCAATTCAGATATGGCAGAGCCAGGTGTTCCCAAGGGACACAGAAACCCTTTGCTGGTCTGCATGGCCTCACTGCAAACCTCTTTAACACCAGCATCTCATTTTATTTTATTTTTTTTATTTTATCTTTTTAAGTAGTCATTTTATTTATTTATTTTGGTTTTGTTTTTTTTGAGATGGAGTCTCGCTCTGTCGCCCAGGCTGGAGTGCTGCACGGCAATCTCGACTCACTGCAACCTCTGCCTCCCAGGTTCAAGTTATTCTCCTCAGCCTCCTGAGTAGCTAGGACTACAGGTGTGTGCCACCACGCCCAGCTAATTTTTTGTATTTTTAGTAGAGACAGGGTTTCACCATCTTGGCCAGGTTGGTCTCGAACTCCTGACCTCAAGCAATCCACCCACCTCAGCTTCCCAAAGTGCTGGGATTACAGGCGTGGGCCACCGTGCCCGGCAAGACCAGCACCCATCTTAGACATGCTAAGGAGGTAAAGTTGTCTGTTACAGTATCAGTCTGTAAGGAGTAACAACAGCCCCTCAGCACATCCTAAACAGATGCTGGTGCTAGAGGACCGGATCCAAGGCATAGCTCCTGTGGCCTTAGATATAAGCATTGAACCCCAACCTAGGGACCGTCCAGTCAGCCTACACTGAAGCCTGAAATAGCAGGCAGCATAGCAGACGGGTGGCACAGTACTGTCCCTGACTGCACAGTATAGGATTGGAAAAGCAGGCCAGGCCAAACTCATCTCCAGTGTTAGCTTCCCTCTGCCTCTGCTAGGCCAAGTCACTGGGCCACACCCCCTACTGACTTACCATGGTTTCCACTCCCCAGGCAGTGGGGCCACAATGCCCTCCCGCGCCAGCCACATCAGTTCTGGTTCCTTGATGGGATCAATACCAATCTCCCGGGCAAATTCAAGAATTTCTGAAAGGAGAGGCAGAGGTGGGAAAGTAAAAGAAATGAAAAGAAGAAAAAAACTCTCAATCTTTTTCTACTTTGTCTTTTCCCTCCATCAATGAGAAAATCATATTCTTTAAATTATAAACAATAAACATATAATTGTTTCCTTACAATTTATAAATGGTACACTTGAATCCAAGCATGCTGTCTCCACACTACAATGACATAATCTGAAGCCAAGCATTAAAAATGCAAAAAATAGGCAGGCGCGGTAGCTCATGCCTATAATCTCAGCACGTTGGGAGACCGAGGCAGGTGGATCACAAGGTCAAGAGTTCGAGACCAGCCTGGCCAACATGGTGAAACCCCATCTCTACTAAAAATACAAAAATTAGCCCAGTGTGGTGGCGTGTGTCTGTAATCCCAGCTACTCTGGAGGCTGAGGCAGGAGAATTGCTTGAACCTGGGAGGAGGGGGTTGCAGTGAGCTGAGTTCACGCCATTGCATTCCAGCCTGGGTGGCGAGAGCAACACTTCATCTCAAAAAAGAAAAAAAAAAAGGTAAAAAATAAAATAAAACCAAGACTTCATTCCAGAGGGGGCCTCAGAGGCAAGAACCCCAAAACCATAGCCAGAACCATCCAGAATGAGCACAGCCTTATCAGAAGGTAGTAAGCTCTCCCAAGATTTGCAAAAGCTTGGTGCAAAAGCACTCATCACTCCGTCAACAAACATGTACTGAACAACTACAAGTGACTGTGCTCCTCCAAGACATCACAAACACACAAATGGAGTACAACCCAGGTGACACATGCTGTAATGAAGACGTGTCCTGTATGCTATGGGTGCAGAGAGAAGGCAGTGACTGATTCTGCCTAGGGGCAGGGAGCTATCTGAGCTGAGAAAGTGGATGATATGAGCTCAAGCAGGCTGAACCCCCACTCACTGAACCCTCTCTTCCATGAAGGGAGTTGCCTCTTTTTCTTTTTTTTTTTTTTTTTTTTTTTGAGACGGAGTCTCGCTGTGCCTCCCAGGCTGGAGTGCAGTGGCGTGATCTCGGCTCACTGCAAGCTCCGCCTCCCGGGTTCACGCCATTCTCCCGCCTCAGCCTCCCAAGTAGCTGAGACTACAGGCGCCCGCCACCACGCCCGGCTAGTTTTTTGTATTTTTAGTAGAGACGGGGTTTCACCATGTTAGCCAGGACAGTCTCGATCTCCTGACCTCGTGATCCACCCGCCTCGGCCTCCCAAAGTGCTGGGATTACAGGCTTGAGCCACCGCGCCCGGCCTGGGAGTTGCCTCTTTTTCAATGTTGCTATATATTACGACCCTAATACTTTTGTTCTGGCTGGGTGCAGTGGCTCATGCCTGTAAGCCCAGCACTTTGGGAAGCCAAGGTGGGAGGATCGCCTGAGTCCACGAGATCAAGACCAGCCTGGGCAACATGGTGAGAACCCGTCTCTACAAAAAATACGAAAATTAGCTGGGCGTGCTGGCATGTGCCTATAGATGCAGCTACCCAGGAAGCTGAGGCGGGAGCTTACTTTCTAGTAGAAGAGACAGCCAGCAATGAGCTTGAGGAGGTCAAGGCTACACTCCAGCTGGGGGGACAAAGCAAGACTTCATCTCAAACAAACAAACAAAACTTTTTTGTACTCTGGAAATTAAGTATTTAGAAAAGCTCTTTTGCCACAGAACTGAAAGACAGTGGAGATATACGTTCTGACTTAAGCACTATCTCAGTCAAGCACTGTGGTTCATGCCTGTAATCCCAGCACTTTGGGAGGCCAAGGTGGGCAGATCACTTGAGCTCTGGATTTTGAGACCAGCTTGGGCAACATGGAGAAACTCCGTCTTTATAAAAAATACAAAAATTAGCCAGGCATGGTGGCATGTGCCTATAGTCCCAGCTACTCAGGGGGCTGAGGCAGGATAATCGCTTGAGCTCAGGAGACGGCAGTTGCAGTGAGCTGAGATCCTGCCATTGTACTCCAGCCCGGGCGACAAGAGTGAAATCCTGTTCAAAAAAAAAAAGAGCTATCTCATGTACAGTAAAAAAGATAAATGAGATAACCATTGGAACATGTCACCAGAACCCCCAGAAATGATTAAATAAATATGCAAATGACATCAATGCTTAAGCTGGCGATAGCCCAGGCCAGAAGGGCATCACCAATGAGCCATCGCAGTGGAGAATTTGGAGGCTGACATACCTGGGAACTAGGTAAGAGAAAATATTTTTTCAAAGAACTGCCTGGAACTTGACTGACCAGACTAATTTATTCATTTTTCACAAATATGTTTGAGTGTCTCCTATGTACCAGTTACTAGGAGCCATGAATAAGAAAAAAACTAGTCACTGCCTTTGTGGAGCTTACATTCTAGTAGAAGAGACAGCCAGCAATGAAGTAAACAGTTAAATATACAAAAATTAAAACTTCTGATAAACGCAATGAAGGAAGTAAATGAGGTATGAGCTAGAGAACGTCAGGGTGGAAGAGCATTCCTTTAGAAATGATGGTCAAGGAATCAAGCTATTGCACTCCAGCCTGGGCAACAAGAGTGAAACTCCGTCTCAAAATAATAATAATAATAATAATAGAAATGATGGTCAAGGAATGCCTCTCAGCAATGTTGATAGTTAACTGAAACCTGCACAAGCGAAAGGAGCCAGCCATGCAGAGCACTAGAAAAAGAGCATTCACGCAGAAGAAGCACAGGTGCAAAGGATCTGTGACAACCGGTAGCTCTGGGGACTGTCCGAAAGCCAGTATAGCCAGGCATGGTGATGCACACCTGTAATCCCAGTACGTTGGGAGACTGAGGTGGGTGGATTGCTTGAGCCCAGGAGTTCAAGACCAGCCTGGGCAACACAGCAAGACCCCATCTCTAACAACAAAATACAAAAATTAGCTGGGCCTGATGGCATGCACCTGTGTGGTCCCAGCTATTTCGGAGGCTGAGATGGGAGAATCACTTGAGCCCAGGGGAGGGGGGTCAAGGCTTCAGTAAGCCAAGTTCACGCCACTACACTTCAGTCTGAGTGACAGAGTGAAACTCGGTCTCAAAAAAAAAAAATTCCAATGTGACTGGTAGAGACAGCCCGGTCACAGAGCCCTGCAATCCCATCAAGGGTGTTATGTTGAGTTATGGGGGTGGGGGGTACTAAAAGCACAACCCTGACGGGATCTGCTTTATAAGCAGTAAGGCTAATTGATTAGGAAGCTACTGAGATAACCCAGGAAGAGAAAATGGTGGCTTGAGGTTAGAATGCCTATACCTGGACTGGGCAGAAGAAAGTTTTTATAAACATCCTTAGAAAAACCTTTGACTCCATTTACAACAGCAACCAAATGTATATAAATTTAAGAAATATGCCGGTCATGGCCGAGTGCAGTGACTCACACCTGTAATCTCAGCACTTTGGGAGGCCAAGGCGGCTAGATCACCTGAGGTCAGGAGTTCAAGACCAGCCTGACCAACATGGTGAAACCCTGTCTCTGCTAAAAATACAAAAATTAGCTGGGTGTGGTGGCGGGCACCTGTAGTCCCAGCTACTCAGGAGTCTAAGACCGGAGAATCACTTGAACCTGGAGGTTGTAGTGAGCCGAGCTCACGCCACTGTACTCCAGCCTGGGCGACAAAGCAAGACTCTGTCTCTAAAGAGAAAGTAGGAAAGAAAGAAAGAGGCCAGTCGTGGTGGCTTATGTCTGTAACCCCTGCACTTTGGGAAGCCCAGAAAGGAGGATCACTTGAACCCAGGAGTTCAAGATGAGCCTGGACAACACAGTGAGATCCTATCTCTACAAAAACATTCATTTTAATTAGCCAGACACATGGCATGCACCTGTAGTTCTAGCTACATGGGAGGATCACTTGAGCCCACGAGTTCAAGGCTGCAGTGAGCTATGATGGAGCCACTGCATACCAGCCTGGGTGACAGAGTAAGACTGTCTCTATAAACAAAAATATGGAAAACAAAGAAACGCCCTATGCTATAAGCACAGTCCAATATTTAACATGAGATCCATGTATTCCTAGAGGTGCAAGAATTGTGCACCCTGCTGTCAGGTCCATGAAGCACCTGAATTATAAGCAAACTTTGTATGCCCAGATCATAACTCGTCAGAATTTCAAAGAAACTTTCACTCCAAAAAACTGCTTAGTGCTTCAAAGTGCAGGCCCTATGGCCAGGCACAAGTGGTTCATGCCTGTAATCCCAATACTCTGGGAGGCCAAGATGGGCAGATTACTTGAGGTCAGTTTGAGACCAGCCTGGCCAACATGGCAAAACCCCATCTCTACTGAAAATACAAAAAAAATTACCTAGGCATGGTGGCACGCATCTGTAGTCCCAGCTACTGGGGAGGCTAAGGCAGGAGAATCACTTGAACCTGGGAGGCGGAGGTTGCAGTGAGCAGAGATCCCGCCACTGCCCTCCAGCCTGGGCGACAGAGTGAAACTCCCATCTCAAAAAAACAAAACAAAACAAAACAAAAAGTGCAGGCCCTAGAGTTTGAACACCTGGAGGTGGATTCTAGCCACACCACTTAGAATAGAACTGTATATCCACAGGAAGTTAATCTTTCTGTGCCTTGGTTTCCTCATCTGTAAAATGGGGATAATAATAGTACCTAACTCAGAGAGTTGCAGTGAGGGTTGAAAAGGTAATATACATGGGCCAGGCATGTGTCTCCCGCCTGTAATCCCAGCACTCTGGGAGGCGGAGGTGGGAAGATCACTTGAAGTCAGTTTGAGACCAGCCTGACCAACACGGTAAAACCCCTTCTCTACTGAAAATACAAAAATCAGTTCCCCAGGTGTGGTGGCGGGCACCTGTAGTTCTAGCTACTCAGGAGGCTGAGGAACGAGATTTGCTTAAACCCGGGAAGGGGAGGTTGCAGTGAGCCAAGATCACAGCATTGCACTCCAGCCTGGGTGACAGAGGAAGACTCTGTCTCCAAAAAAAAAAGGTAATAAGGTAATACATGTAAAGTGCTTAAAACAGAGGCTGGCACATAATAAGTTATGTTGTTATTGTTATTAATAATGTTATTATTGTTGTTTAAAAAAACTCTGTTCTAAGTTTGTGTTTAGGAAATTGGGTTTCCCCTGGTCACAGAACACACTGTATTTAGATTTAAATCTAATCACTGCTCTAACCCAGAGACAGCAAATTTTTCTGTAAACAACCGGATAGTAACTATTTTAGCCTTTGTGGGTCATATACCTCTCTTACAGCCACACATCTCTGCAGCTATAGCATAAAAGCAGCCACACACAATACATAAACCAGTGTGACTGTTTTCCAATGAAGGTTTATTTACAAAAACAGGCAAGTAGCTGGGCATGGTGGCTCACGCCTGTAATCCCAGCACTTTGGGAGCCAGAGGCAGGCAGATCGCTTGAGGTCAGGAGTTCGAGACCAACTTGTCCAACATGGTGAAACCCATCTCTACTAAAAGTACAAAAATTTGCCAGGTGTGGTGGTGCATGCCTGTAGTTCCAGCTTCTCGGGAGGCTGATGTGAGAGAATCACTTGAACCCAGGAGGCAGGGGTTGCAGTGAGCTGAGATCACGCCACTGCACTCCAGTCTGGGCAACAGAAAGAAACTGAAAAAAAAACAGGCAAGAGGCCAAGGTAGGCTCACATCTGACCTAACCCAAATACACTAAGCAACTCTGTACATGTGCCATACTTTGCACTGAAAGAACAAAAATAAACCAGACATAATCCCTGTCCTCAAAAAACAAACACAATACACCACAGGCCTCTTCGCAGACTTGTTACCTTGCTCACTAGGAATGTAGGTCTCATCATAATCTTCTTCCAGAACCAGCTGATCTCCTATGCGGAGGGGTCGTCCAGCCATGACTCATCTGGGCTCAAACACCTAGATCCCAGAGACCCCCACCAAAATAGAAAATCAGTGACCAAGCTTAATAGGGGAAAAGATGGCGCTGGGTCATGGAGCATCTGGATCAAACCAGACTCTGCACAGCAATTTGGCCAGGGCCTTCCCAAGTGCCAGGTATAGTGGAGGGTGAAACCAACAACTCAAGGCTCACAGGCTCTGCGCCTGGGAAAGGTCTCCCAAAGGCTTGATGAACACTTGGTGAACCACAAAACATCTTCAAGCCTGGCTCTGTCAAGAGTTTGACTTTGTACCTCCCCCAGACAGAAGAAACAATTACAACACAGAACCACCAAGTAGAAGATCCTAGGGACACCAAAGTAACCAGCAGCACACAGACACCCATACACCAGCACACTTCCGTGGCACACCCCCATCTCAACACATATTCCTATCTGGATGTCTCGATTCATATCCAAAATGCCCTCAGGAAGCTTACAATCCAGTGGCGGGAACGACCTCAAGAGCGGCAGAAGGCAGAAGGGAAAAAAGCTTCCTGTTCTGGGAGTACTAAGATAAGGGCAAAAAATTCCCCCACAGAAAGGAAGGAAGGAAGGCGGACAAGAATTCTGATGGTGGAGAAAGGCATTCTAGACAGAGGGAGCATCTCGTACAGACAGGTGCTCCAGAGTGCGGATACCAGCGTGTGACCGGCTGCTCACACAGAGCCTCGCAGACCATGCTGAAGAGCCTCCACCCTGTCCTACCGCAGAGGGGAGGCGCTGAGGGCTCTGGTGAAACAAAGCATCACAGGGTGGCCTTTTTTTTTAGGACAAGAAGTCTGGCAGGACTGGCACAGCTGGATTGGAGAAATTAGAGACTGGTGTCAGGAAAACCACCTGAGAAGGCTGCTGCCCAGGGGCAAGATGATGAGGGTTTTAACTAGGGCAGAAGCAGGGGAATGAAGAAGGGACAGTCAGAACGGACCCAGTGATGTTAAGCTTAATAGGACCAGGATATGAGGGAAAGAGTGGAAAGGAGCTACATCCCTCCAAAATTCACATACGTATATACTGGGGTTTTTTTTTTGTTTTTTTTTTTTTTACAGAGATGGTGTCTCACTATGTTGCCCAGGCTGGTCTTGAACTCCTGGGTGCAAGCAATCCTCCCGCCTCAGCCTCTCAAAGTAAGAAAAATTCACATATTGAAGCCCTAACCCACAATGTGACTGGATCTTTAGGAGATAATTAAGGTTAAATGAGGTCATTAAGGTTAGATGGCCTGATAGGATTAAAAAGAGAGAAAGAGAGAAAGGACCAGGAACCAGGGTGGCAGATGGGGCCCACTGCCTAGTGGCTTAGAGCTCTGTCTCTGCCATATGAGGACACAGCAAGAAGGCAGCTGTCTGCAAGGCAGGAACACGGAAGAGACCTTGATATGGGCCTTCTAGCTTCCAAAACTATGAGAAAAGAGATTTCTGCTGTTTGAGCCCCCTAGTCTACGGTATTGTGTTATGGCAGCCCAAGCTAAGACAGAACCCAAGGTTTCTAGCTCCAGGGATGGGGCGACGCCAAATTCTTCAACTGACAAGTCGGTGCACTTCTAGAATTGCTCCTCTCTTCCCACCCCTACCTCAGGACCCCAGTTCCCACCAACTCTCCCCATGGCAGCTCCCTTGCTGCAGCCTGATGAATGAAGCAGGTCGCCTGGGAAACTGCTGCCACACACAGCCCTGCTCAGAGCACCTCCCCGACCTGCAGAGCAGTTGGCCACACCAGATGTGACCAACAGGAGTCTGGAGCCACAAGTCCTGACCTCTCCAGTCCCTACCTCCTCAAAAGCTGTCACTGTTCCTCCTAGAGCAGCAAGGATGAAATGGCCCTCTTCAAGCAGAAAGGCCCAGCCATTAAAAAGGTTAGGATCTGGGAGAACGCATCAAGCCCAGGGGGCCGTGGAAAGGCTGGAGGACACACCTAAACATGTGGAATCCCAACGCCGGACACCCAGGGTCAAATCCATATCCCCCTCAGCACTAGGTGCCCTGGAGGTTCCAATCCTGCCCACCCACCACCTATCAATCCACCCTTTCCCCCAGGCACCTGTCCTCCTCCCCCAGGAGCTCCCAAGGGCAATCCAGCTTTCCCCCGACATGGGGCCCCTCATCCTGTGCCACAGCCAGGGTATCCAGGATGCCAACCTTCGGGTCCCTACCCTCCTCCATACCCACCACCTGCCCCTGGAATCCCTCCTGCAAATCCCTTGGCTCCTGGCATGGTCAGACCAGCAGTGATGATGGACAAGAAGAGGCAGAAGAAAATGAAGAAAGCTCATAAAAAGATGCACAAGCACCACAAGCATGGCAAGCATTCCTCCTCCTCTTCCAGCAGTGACTCTGACTAAATACAGGCCCTGGACCCTTCCCTCAAGTCTCACCAGTTCTGCTTTCCCCATCAAGCTTCAGATGCCATGCTGCACTGGGGGAGAGTAGCCCTTGTGCTCCCCGCCCGCTATCCGCACCTGAGCCTTACCCTGCTGTTGAGCCCTGAGTGGCTAGGGAAAATGGGAAGAGGATTGCCATGGCCTGGCCATCTTCTTGCTGCTTAGATAGATGATACAGTTAATGAGTTTAGCAGGGGAGCTATTTTTTTTTTGAAGACGATGAACTAAATGTTGAAGACAAGTTTGAGATCTGTAAAATGTGATTTTTTTTACTTCTGCTTATAATACTTGTGATTGGGGAGGTTTGTGGAAATTTAATTATGATGAAAAACCTCTATCTTTTTTTGTAATGTTGGCATACTTGGGGAATTCAGTGGCAAATACATTCCCCAGCAGGCCTTCTGTTGGTTGCACTAAGTGCAAGGTTGCTGGGAAGTAGAGTCCGTTCGGTTGATGAGCTTTGACTGCCGTTTTAGAACCTCACCTCTCCTCCTTAGCCCAATATGCTGTCTCAGGTCCTATTCTTGTTCTCCAGCTGTCAGTCCAAATAAAATTATTTCTCTGGTTAAAAAAAAAAAAAAAAAAAAGTCAGGATCTGGCCTGGAAAGAGTATTCAGGAAACGGCTGGATCTGGAGACTCTGAATCTATTCCAAGTTTCCTAGAGACCCTTGACAAGCAACAAAGGTTCCATCAGGGACTGTTTATTGTGGTCCCCCTCTCTGTACCATGATAGCTAAGAGGTGGGCAACAGGAGTCCTGCCTTAGGACTCACAAGACATGGTTCCCTTTGTCAGTGCACTGAACTTGAAGGAAGCCAGCTTCTGCCCCTCTCATTCCCACCATGCCACCTCCAAGCAGGAGGAAAACACCAAAGAAAAAGGGCTTCTTTCAGCAGTACATAAGCTGAAGTGGGAATGTGCTACCAACCCTCAGAAGAACCCGTAACATCCTGCAGATATGATGCCCCACTGTGCTACACGCACAGTCAGAGGTGACGTAGGCCTGACCACTGCTGACTCTAAAAAGCTGAGCAGAAAAGGACCAGGAACCAGGGTGGCAGATGGGGCCCACTGCCCGGTGGCTTACAGAGTCACCTGAATCTTTAATCCTCTTAGGGAGAGGAGAAGAGAAAAGGAAAGAATCCATGGGCAGGAAGGGCCCAGTGGTGGCCTGAACATTGGGGTGAATAAGCACTGCTCAAGCATGTACTCTATATGAGGTACTGTCTTAACTACCTCAGAGAATTTGAGAAATTCTGCATTTGAGAAATACTATCCCCTAGATACGTCCCATCTCCATAAAGCACAGGACAGGTAGTCTCTGTCAGCATGGCAAAAACACTAACTCGCTACATACGTAATTATCTATCTTTACTTTTTTTTTTCTTTTTTTTGAAACGAAGTCTCCCTCTGTCACCCAGGCCGGAGTGCAGTGGCGTGTTCTTGGTTCACTGCAACCCGCCTCCCGGGTTCAAGCTATTCTCCTGCCTCAGCCTCCCGAGTAGCTGGGATTACAGGCGCACACCACCATGCCCGGCTAATTGGATTTTTAGTAGAGATGGGTTTTCACCATGTTGGCCAGGCTCATCTCAAACTCCTGACCACAGGTGATCCACCGGCCCTGGCCTCCCAAAGTGCTGGGATTACAGGCATGAGCCACCATGCCCGGTGATATATTTAACTATTTAAAGATCAGGAAAACTCTGGAAAATCTGAATTCATGGATCATCCAAATTCAAATAAATGTTATGCCAGAAAAAAATTAAAATATGGATGAGTTGTATTCTACCTTCTTTCCTTACCTTTTCTGGCTCTAGAAAAGATGTGGGCAAGGACAGGTCCAAAAGCGCAATGAGTTAAAGAAAAAAGGAACATGGGAAGAGAAGTCCTATCTATTTGCCTGTATGCAGTAGCAGGATGGCTACCAAAGACCATCTAGTCATTCGAGGAATATTTATTGGGCACCTACCACGTGCATTTATTTCTAGGCGCTAGAGATGCAATCGTGATTAAAACCAGATTCAGCTGCTGCTACTCTTGAGCTACTCTGGGAAGGGAGGGAGACAAACCAATCAGTCACAGAGAAATGTATAATTAGAACCAAGGGAAGTGCTCTGAAGGAAATAAGCCTGATTTAGATGATGCCTACACTGAGAACTGAAGGATGAGTAGGTATTCCCTAGACAAAGAAAATAAGGAAAGTGTGTTCTAACAGACGCATGAGAAAGTCCTTCAGCAGAAGGCAACACTAGGCGAGAAGCAGCACAGCTGGAGATGATGCTGGGGAGGCCAGTGGGAGCCAGGCCATTCAGACTTGGCCTTTATCATAAGAGAACTAGGGCTGGGCACAGTGGCTCATGCCGGTAATCTCAGCACTTTGGGAGGCCAAGGAGGGAGGATCACTTGAGCCCTGGAGTTCGAGACCACCCTGAGCAACTTAAGACGGCCCTGTCTTACCCTGTACAAAAAAAAATTTAAAAATTAGCCAGGTGTGGTGGTGTATACCTGTAGGCCCAGCTACGTGGGAGAATGAGGTGGAGGATCGCTTGAGTCCAGGTTGTCAAGGCTGCAGTGAGCCTTGACTGCGCCACTGCACGCCA